CAGGTGTTAAACTCAGCTAAACAAAACATGGCCAGGTGGCTGGGACGTGCTGGGCAAGCCGGTGAAAGGAGATGGAGCTGTAAAGACAGGGAGGCTGAGCACCTGGAGGCTCTGAGGCCTTGGAGAGGAGGACATGTCACTGTAAACTGCTGGATGTTTTATACTTGGAGGATGAGAAAAGAAATTGTCTGCTGTGGAGACAGAAAAGGAGGGCAAGCGTGATGGCTGAGGGTGCATAGGGAACTTAAAGTCGGTAGCACTGAGGGTGACAAGATTAGTTTAGAGACACTACAGTCAAGGCTGTCAGGAGCTTCGTGGCCAGGTGTAGACTGTGTATGTGTTCATGTGTGCATAGGTGTGACTTTAGGTGCACATAGGCATGTTGACACAGCATATCTTCTTCAGTTGCTCTCCACTTTATTTTTCCAGTAAGTTTAAAAAAATTCTTTGAGCATTTTATATAATATATTTTGATCATTTTCATCTTTTCTCTCTCAACTCCTCCCAGATCCACCTCCACCTCCCCACCCATGCATCCAACTTTGTGCCTTCTATTTTCCTTCTTCTTTTTTTTTTTTTTTTTTTTTTTTAAAGCCCAATTTGTATTGCTCAAGCACACTTGGATGTGGGGCCAGTGTGGTTGGTCTACCCTTCTTTAAGGGTTCAGACCCTTAAGGAAAACTGAGCCCCTCCAACCCCCATAAAGCTAGCAAAGCCCCACCCTCTGCCTGTGTTCTGGGCGTTGTCTGCCTGAGCTTCTGCAGGTCTTAAGCATGCTGTCATAACATCTGTGAGTTCATACGTTCAATTGCCTTGTGTTTCAGGAACCACTGTTTCCTTGTAGCCATCCACCACCCCTGGCTCCTAAAATCTTCCAGCCCTGTCTTCTTGATAATTCCTAAGCCTTGGGGGCAGGAGTGTGATGTTGATCTTCCATTTGGGGATGAGCACTTTGCAGTCTCTTATCCTCTCTTGAAGTTGTGGGTCTCTGTTAATTGTCTTCTGCTGCAAGAAGAAGCTTCTCCGATGAGAGTTAAGAGGTACTAGCCTATAGTTATAAAAATAAGAACCTAGGGCCTGGAGAGACGGCTTAGAAGTTAAGAGCACTGGCTGCTTTTCCAGAAGTGCCGAGTTCTAGTCCCAGCAACCACATAGCAACCATCTATGTTACAGATCTGGTGCCCTCTTCTGGTGTGCAGGCATACATGCATGCAGAATATTATAAACAAATAAATAAATAAAATAAAATAAACCTTAAAAATAAGAATAAGAACCCAGTGAGAGTTTGTTACTGTATCCATTTAGCGGGACAATTGCATTAGGTTCACCCCTAGGGCTAAAGACATGTCTTGTCTCTAGTTCTTGACTCTAATAATGGTACTGGTTTATAAATTCCGTTTCACAGAGCAGACCTTAAATCCAATCAGAAAATGTTCCGTTGCTTCTACAACATTTCCAGCATTCCTTCCAGAGGGTATATCTTTCCAGGCCAGTTGTTACTGTAGCCCACAGGATTCTCAGCTGGGTAGGACTGGCAGTTATTTTTCTTTTCGTGGTGCTGTACTTGTACTTTCCAGCACTGTGAACACTGGCCCACAGGAATGAAGCTTTGAGGTGAGTACCAGCTTGATTTTTCCATGTTCTATGACTTAAGTACATGTTATCTTCAGCAATAGAGTTTTACCATCAAGTTCTGGGAGGGCAAACAAAGAGTAATGGCAACAGCCTATAATGTTTGGAGGTGTTGGCTTTGTATTCCTCCCCACACTCACTCCACTACCCTGACTTTCCATCCCTCCATCCATTTAACCCTTCCTGTTCATTATTCCTCTTTCCTCTTTTATATCACTACATTCTACCTACCCTTCTTGGAAGACCCTCCCCCACTGCCCTTTAATAGTTTCCTGGCCTCGATGGGTTTTTTGAATGAAACACACATCTGAGGATCCAGAGCAAATATCCATGTTGGAGAAAACATGTGACATTTGACGTTCTGGGCCCAGGTACCCTCACGTGATAGTTTCCTGCTCTATCCATTTTTCTGAAAATTTTATAATTTTGTTTTTCTTTCTTTTGGGGGGGGGCAGTTTGAGATGGGGCCTCACTATGTACTCCTGAACTAGATACATAGATGAAGCTGGCAAGGAACATTGATGAGCAGGTAACTCTATTCACAATGTCTAGAAATGGAAACTACCTAAATGTCTACTATCTGGTGAATGGATAATGAAAACATGGCACGTTTATGCAATGGGTAGATATTATTCATATATTATAACAAATAACAATAATTATAGTTATAATAATAATAATAATTTGTTAAGAAAAACAAAGTTGCCAGGTGTACAGACCTTTAATCCCAGCTCTTGGAAGACATAGGCAGGTATCCCTGCAAGTTCAAGCCAGCCTGGGAGGAAAGGGTTTATTTTGCTCAAACTTCTAGGTTTCAGTCTATCACAGGGAAAAAGCAGGGCAGAAACTCAAGCAGGGCAGGAACCCAGAGTCAAGAGCTGATGTAGAAGCCATGGAGGAACATTGCTTACTGGCTTGATTTCCATGGCTTATGCATCCTGCTCTCTTTAGTTTTCCTTTTCTTCCTTTCTTCTTTTTTTCCTTCTTGCCTTCCTTCCTTTATTCCTTCTTCCTTCCTTGTTTTGTTTTGAAACAGGGTTCTCTCTGTAGCATTGGCCACCCTGGAACTCGCTCTGTAGACCAGGCTGGCCTCAAACTCACAGAGATCTGCCTGCCTCTTCCTCCCAAGTGCTGGGATTAAAGGCATACTCCACCACCATCTGGCATTTGTCCTGGATAGCATCCAGGACCACTATCCTAAGGGTGGGCCGGACTTTCCCACATCCATGGCTAATTAAGAAAATGCCCTTCTGAATAAAGATTGAACATCTTAGCCAGGTTCCTCTTCAAGGAGCCTATCATAGAGGGCTTCTGAAAGACTCTACCCAGCAGGGTATCAAAACATATGCTGAGATTCATAGCAAACTTTGGGCAGAGTACAGGGAATCTTATGAAAGAAGGGGGAGATAGGAAGACTTAGAGGCAACAGGAGCTCCACAAGGAGAGCAACAGAACCAAAAAAATCTGGGATACGGGTCTTTTCTGAGACTGATACTCCAACCAAGGACCATGCATGGAGATAACTTAGAACCCCTGCACAGAAATAGCCTTATGGAAGCTCAGTGTTCAAGAGGGTTCCCCAATAATAGGTTTAGGGACTGTCTCTGACAGGAAATCAGTGGCTGGCTCTTTGATCACTTCCACCTGAGGGGGGATCAGACTTACCAGTCCACAGAGGAACAATGCAACCAGTCCTGGTGAGACTTGATAGACTAGGGTCAGATGGAAGGGGATGAAGACCTACCCTATTATTGGACTTGGGGAGGGGCATAGGAGAAGAAGAGGGAGGGAGAGTGGGATTGGGGAGGGAATGGGGAGGAGGCTACAGCTGGGATACAAAGTGAATAAACTGTAATTAATAAAAATTAAAAAAAAGAAAAAGAAAATGCCCAAGGGCTTTCCTACAGCTCAATCTTAAGGGTGCATTTTCTCAGTGGAGGTTTCCTCTCAGAAGACTGTAGCTTGTGTCGAGTTGACATAAAACCAGCCAGCACAGGTGCTCTGGCTTCTTCCATCCCTGTTTACATTCTCTTTATCTCCATCACTTGTCTTACCCCCCTAGCCAAGACTTCAAACACTATGTTGAAGTGGACATCTTGTCTCGTTTCTGATTTTAGAGGAAATGCTTTGAGATTTTTCTCCTTTTCTCTTTCTTTCCTTATCTTTCTTTCTTTTCTTTTTTTTTGGAAAGGACCTATTTTGAATGTGGAGTTTCTTGGTTTGCTTAGACTGACTGGATTGCAAGCCCAGGGATCCTCCCATTTCTGCCTCCCGAGTCCTGGGCTTACATGTGTGGACCGTTGCTCCTCGCTTTTTCGGTGGGTGCCATATATCTGAACGTCAGTCTCGTTCCTGCAAGGCAAACACTTCACAGACTGAGTCATCCCGCTAGGCCCCAAAGATTTTTATTTGACCTGTGAGGAGGTGGTGATGCTGTTGCCTAAGTTTCTGGTGACACTGGGGATAAAGGTACATTGTATGTGGAGATGATCATCTACAGAGTTCTTAGGTCTGTTTAAGAGAACCAGTCATTCTGTGTTAAGTTTTCCCACTTGTTTAGTTTAAAAAGCACATAAATAATTTTAGCTAGTAATATCCATTGAGGATTGTTAAATGATGGCTTATTCCTTAGTACTTAGTGTCCTGTGATTTATGACCTGTGTGGCATATTAATACTAATATATGATTTCTTTAATTGATTTTTTTATGACTGAATGATATTAAGGAATCCAGATTTTAATAAATTTACTACCTAACAGAAGACTGGATTACAACTTTATTTTCTTTCTTTCTTTTTTTTTTTTTTTACAACTTTATTTTCAATCAGTGGCTTGTTAGGTGGTTAGAACCCTTTTGGAATGTTAAGAGAATAGAAATATTAGTCTTATAAATTAGAAAATAAACTGGGTGGTAGTGGCACACACCTTTAATTCCAGGACATGAGAGGCAGAAGCCTGCCTGATCCACAGTGAATTCCAGGGCAGCTGGGCCTACACAGCTAATCCCTAACAAAAAAAAAAAAAAAAAAAAAAAAAAAGGAAAGAAAATGACCACAAGTAAATCCTTCAATATCTTGGGCCCCATATCCTTAGCAAGATCAGCCAGACCTGGTTTCTAATATTGGTAGATGAGTTTTATTTTTCTATTTCTCTGGCGAAACACCATGACCAAGGCAATTTTTCAAGGAGAGCATTTAAGCTGGTATGGGGGCAGGGTGCAGGTGTAGATGCAGAAGGTTCTCTGTGAGTTTGAGGACAGCCTGATCTACACTGAGTTCTGTGTAGCCAGGAATTCACAGAGACTCTGTCTCAAACAGCCAGAAACAAAGAATAAAAAATGAAAACACTGAACTGAGCTGCTGGTTCCAGGGAATGAAGGTCGGCAATGGTGAAGAAAAGGCACGGTGGCAGGCCTCGCAAAGCGCTCACATCTCCTTCCACAAGTAGGAGGCGGAGAGAACGAACTCAAAATGGGGTGAGTGTGAGTGTTTTGAAACCCCAAAGCCCACGCCCAGTGACAGAACTCCTCAGAAGCTCACACCTCCCAATCCTTTCAACCCACACAGCCACTAACGGAAGATGAAGTGGTCGAAGACGTGAGCTTACCTGTGGGAGCGTTCACAATCTCGTTCAAGCCAGCACAATGGTAATGCTTTGTTCCTAGAAATATTGATAGTTCTATTAAGATTTCCTCCTGTGACTATGAACTAGCCCTGGGCTAGTTTAAAGTCTTATAAAAATAATCGTGTTTATTAATTTGTTTATTCACCCAGTGAAAAGGTATCAGCTGTTTTTAGGTGTTCTTTCAGTCTCTTTGGATACAAGGACCTACACTGTCTACTGTTATTATCTAAGCAAATACTATCAACTTCCTGTAGTTAAAATGAGCAATGGCAAGTGGATTGGTTTTGTTGGATCAAGTCTGAAAGGTTTTGTGGCAAGTCTGAAAGGAGAGAGGTATTATTTTAATGGATGATCTTGAACCATTGAAGGGTTTTTACATGTGGGATCGATTGATCCATCTAGCCTTGCACTTTAGAAAAAATCACTGTAGCAACAGTGTGGAATTGAAATGCAGGTAAATAAGAGTACTTTAACCCCTACATAGACCTGTGCTTTTCACCTTAGGCCTCCATCATGTACAAAGCTATGACTTGACCACTGTGACTTCATTTACCACCAAGCTGGAAAATAAAATAAGTAGAAGAGACACCTCCAGCATTTCATAACCAAATGCTCCAAGATCAGAGTAGGAAAATTGTTTAGTCTGCTAATATAAGTAACTTCTCAATGTTACAGCTTAACTTTATCATAAGCTATAACTCAAGCACGTTGTTGCAGTGTAAAACTGACTTTGAAGAACGTCTGTGGCTGAACCCTGTATCACCTGCTTCATCATTTCATCTCTCTAATGCAGCACTTCTCAGCCTGTCAGTTGTGACTATTGAAAAACACATCCCCTTCCCTCCATGGTATTAGGAACTGAGATACCCCTCAGTAGCAAAATTACAGTTGTGATGTAGCAAGGAAAGTAATTTTATAGTTTGGTGTCACCACAACATGAGAAACTACACTTGCAGCGTTAGGAAGGTTGAGAACCACTGCTCTATGGTCTTTCTTTTTTTTTAAATATAATTTTTATTTTTTTATATTAATCACAGGTTATTTACTTTGTATCCCAGCTGTAGCCTCCATCCTCATTCCCTCCCTCCCTCATCTCCTCCCTGCCCCTTTCCAAGTCTACTGATAGGGGAGGTCCTCCTCCCCTTCCATCTGACCCTAGCTTATTAGGTATCTTCAGGACTGGCTGCAATGTCCTCGTCTGTGGCCTAACAAGGCTGCTCCTTCCTCGGGGTGGGGGGAGTCAAAGAGCCAGCCATTGAGTTCATGTCAGAAATAGTCCTTGTTCCCCTTACTAGGAACCCAGTTGGATACTGAGCTACCATGGGTTACATCCGAGCAGGGATTCTAGGTTATATCCATATATGGTCCTTGGTTGGAGAAACCGTCTCATAGAAGACCCCTGTGCCCTGGTATATTTGGTAGGGTCTTTCTTAAGATGGAAGCAAACACAGTCATGGAGACTTTGTGACTGTGTTCAGATGAGGTTTAACTATGGCCCATTAACTGTCTCTAGACCATTGAGGATCTTTTTGATGCTATTTGCTTTCTTCTCTTGACACCAAAAGAGTTTGATTTTCCAGCCATGTCCTAGAGCAGCATATTGGATTTTCTGATGGCCGTGTGTGTCTTTTTGTAGGACATATGAATGCTGGGATTCAGGAGGCAGTGAACCCAGACAGAAAGATTAAAGGTATTAAAGAGGAACAGATAGAGCTTTCTAGTTTCTACTCACAGCATTTATACAATGCCACCAAGAGAACTAACGAGAACAGCATGTGTCAGTATATGGCTTGTCATTCCCTCCCTCCAAAGCTGCTTAGGGAGTCTCCAGATGTGGTTCCCACCCCGATGGTTACCTTGGCACAAGTCTGGGCATGGTTTGGCATGTTTCTTAAGAAAACCAATCAGTTTTGGTACAACTTTTGTCATTAATTCTTACCCTGCTAGTTTGTTAAGGCATTCATTAGCTTTTCATAAACATATTTATTTAGATTAATTATTACAGAAAAGATTCTCTAGGTGAAGTTTCAGTGCTCATGAAAGGAAATCAAATAAAGATGCAGCTTCGGAGTGCCAGGGAGAGCACTGCATCTCAGTGATTCCTGTGGTGTCAATAAATGCATCAGGAGAGTTAAATCCAATATAATAACCAGCAGTAGTTGAAACACTCATTTGAAATGTCCTGGGGCTGGAATAAATAATGAATCATTATTATGAAGTGCCAGGTCCATGGGGAGTACGATCTTCCGACCAGCGAGAGATGGGATGAAAAACATTTCTGGCCACTGAAGCCAAGTGAGAATATGGCATCAGTCATCAATCCAGTCACGTTGTAGGCTACGCAATAGGCGACGGAGCCTCCTCCTCTCTGATACCTGTTGTCTGTTCCCATTTCTTATTTAGTATGCTTTACGTTTTCTAAACCCTGCTGGGCGTTCTTCTTTGGCCATAATGGGCTTTTCCCTCTAAAAGTGGTTGACCACCCTCCTTCCCCCAGAGCTGCTGACAAATAAGACAAATTTAAGGCCAGACATGATAAGCCATGTACAAGTAGAGCTGAAAATGTGTTAGGATTAAGATAACTATGGGTCTACCATGCTTTCATCTTGGTTCATATGAAAGAGATTGTACCATGTGTACAGGGCAGGGAAAGGCGGGGACAGGCCTTAACCTTTAGAAGCTCTTAGGTTTGCTTCAACATGTGGGATATCTGTGCAGGTGTCAAGCCTGGAGCCATTTGGAAAAATTGGACAGACTTCACTGGCAGAATATTTGAAAAGCAGATTTACAGTTAGAAGATGAGGCAGGAAGATTATGATTTTCAGTGCCAGGGCACATGATTCATGGATATCAGATTTCTGTAAGCTTCTGAAAAGAATAGAAGGGATTTATTGGGGTCTAGGCAAATTTTTTGTCTCCTTTGGTTGCTTTTAGCAAGTCTATGAGATGGCATTTCCATTTATAATTCAGTTCAGTGCTGGGGATATAGCTCAGTGGTTAAGTTTATTCTTAGCAAGCATGAGGCCCTGGGATAAATCCCTAGCCCCCTGTAATAATTAATGATAATAATAACTGTAATAATAATAATAATAATAATAATAATAATAATAATAGATTTTCATGGATAAGGTATAGCTCAGATGGTGGAGTATTTGCCTAACATACTGCATTCCAAAACTAGGCATGGTGTGGTGGCTCATACCTCTAATTCTAGCACTTGGGAGGCAGAGGTAGGAGGATCAGGAGTTCAAGATCACCTTTGGCAGCATAGAGAATTCTAGGCCAGCCTGGGATATATGCAACTCAGTCTCAAAAATGAAAAACATGACTGACTTTGAAATAAGGCTAATACAGTACCTAACAGACATAGCACAGTAATAGGAGGGAGACCAGCTTCTCTGCCAGATCCGATTCCCCAGCTAGCCGGCTGATAAGAGTTATGCAATTCTTTTTGAGTTATTTTTGATTCTTCACCTGTGGAATGGACCTAAAAACCCAGTGCTGTTGCTGAAGGAGATTTCTTTTGAGAAATGGAAAATGTTATGACATGCTGAAGATACTTAAAAGCAGGACATATTTTCTTGGAATTGTTACATTACTCATGGTCCTAAGGCAAGGGATAAACTTTCTCACATTCCTAACAAATATATTTTACACCCTCAGTGTAAAAACGATGTTTCTTTTAAGGTAACAGTTCAAAACGATTACTTGTCTTAGTTACTGTTCTCTTGCTGTGAGGAGGCACCCTGGCCAAGGTAAGTCTTTTAAAAGGAAGCATGTAATTGGGGCTCGCTTACAGTTTCTGATGGCTAGTCCATGATCTTCATGGCAGGAAGCAGACAGGCATGGAACTGGAGCAGTAGCTAAGAGCTTTTACATTCTGATCTGCAGGTAGCAGACAGAGAAGACATTGGGCCTGGCATGGGCTTTTGAAACCTCAGAGCCCAACCCCACTGACACACCCCCTAATTCTTCTCAAACAGTTCCACTAACTAGGAAGCAAGCCTTCACACTACTGCATTCAAACCGTGACAGTAGTTTGCATTGGCATGTTATTGTACAGAATTAGACGCACTAACAGCTGGTGTATTCTGTCACAGTTGTCTCGGCTACACACACACACACACACACACACACACACACATGCATTTAAAACAAAAATGCTATCATACTATGTACACAAATGATCTTTGTATCTCTATCTAATTTTTATTTTTATTTCAGTTTTTGAACCTAAGTGATATTTCCTAGTAAAATTACACAATCAGTTTCCTGTTGTTTTACTGTTAAATTTTCCTCAGGGTTTTAAATTTTTTATTTTTTTTTTTGCCATAAAAAGAGATATTACCATACAGCACTTGATCTTCTTTTGGGATATATATGTATATGTGTGTGTGTGTGTGTGTGTATGTGTATTCTAAAAAATACATATGGCTAGATTGATATGTGTTTGATAGTACAATAGGTTGGTTTTAGAGTTTGGTTAGGACTTATTTTCATTTCTTTGAATATGCATTATGAGAGTGCGAGCAGGCATGTGTGTGTGTGTGCATGTATGCATGTGTGTATGTTTTACTTACATTTCCATGTCCTCCTTTCTTGCTCCATTCAGTACAGCTCAATCGCCATTTTGAATTCTTCAGTGGGATATATAGCACTGTTCTATTAGAGGCAATTTCAGTACTTAAGAAATATAGAAAAGTCGGGTGTGGTGGTACATGCCTGTAATCCCAGAACTTGGGGAGACAGAGGTAGGTGAGTTCCAGGCCAGCCTGGTCTACAAAGGGAGTCCAGGGCAACCAAGGCTGTATCTTTTTGATACAGAGGCACCCTGTATCAAAAAATAAAAGCAAACAAGAAGTATAAAAATGTATTTTCTCCTAATATGATATCCCAAAATAGATGAGTAAATAAATGAATTTCAAATAATATTTATTTATTGGCTGACTAATTTATTGATTGTAGTACTGGGAGATGCTTAAAGGCAAGGAATGTTAACTGAAAACGTACCGAGAC